AAGAGGTCCAGGGATGGGCAGTGCTTGGAGGCCCTGGGGAGAGAGAGATCGGGGTGGGGCAGGGAAGGAGGGATGGAGAGAAAGAGAGAAAACTGGCTATCAGAGGAGCAGGGGCAACGGAGAGGTGGCTGGGGCCTTGCAAGCAAGGCCAGGCCATCCCGTGAAGCTGTGCGAGTGTCTAATTGCAACGAGAAGCCATGGAAAGGCTAGTGCAAGTTGATAGCTAAATTTGGGGGGTCACTCTGGCTGCTGTTGGTGCAAGCATGTCAAACTTACGGCCCACGGGTCGCATGCCTCGTTTATTTGGCCCGCGTTAGCCTTTGCGTTTGACATGCTGGTGTAGTGGATTGGAGCGGGGCGAGAGTGGAAGCAGGGAGCTGAGCTAGAAGGTGGGCAGTCGTCTAGGGAGCCTGGTGCTTAGGCTAAGTGGTGGGAGCAGAGAGAGAGGAGTAGCCACGTGCCAGGTGTCCAGGAAACGGAACAGGTAGCTCTGCAGGACGGGCTGGACGTGGGGTGGAAGACTCCTAGGTCTCCGGCATGAGGAGTGAGCTGGGAATGAGAGAGGAACCGGCATGGGTGAGGAAGAGCAAGGCAACCTTCCTCTGGGGTGTGTGAAGGTGGAATGCCTGAAGCCCCTTGGAACAGAGGCATGCCATGGGGATCAGATGTATGGGCTGGAGGAGAGGCCACAGGCTGGGTGAGAGAAGGCTGCATGCATTGCTCAAGCCCCACCCGGTGTCTCCCTGTTGGCCTTGCCGAACTTAGGGGATGTTGTTGGCCTGGGCAAGGCCCTGATACCTAAGGAGCCAGCTAATAGCCACATAGCTCATGACATTGAAGGTCTGTGACATGGGGCTCCCACCCCACCCCAGGTCTTGGTGCTGGTCAGTCCCCACCGTGGGGATTGCCAGGAAGCCAGTCTTCCCTCCTCTTGCTCTGCTTCCGCCAGTTGCCATGGCAAAGTCACCAGCCCCAGAGTGGGAGCTTGGCGAGAAGTGGCCAGAGAAGGCCCACTGCTTCCTCAGGCCTTTGCTGATGTCCTGCTTCTGGCTTCTCCCAGGATCCCCGGCTGCTGGCCACATGCGAATTCTTGTGCAAAACCCACACCCTGTTTGTTTTCCCCTCCGCCCAAATGGAGCCCCTGTTTGGTTAATTTCTTCTTGGTGGCTTATTTGGAGGCTGTTAAAACAGACCCGAGGGGACCCTCAGCAGCGATGGTTCCATATCTCATTATCTTTCCCAAACCCGATTATTAGCTCAGATTTTTCTGATCGCTAGCTGCTGTTCGTGATGAGTTGTGTGCCATTAATGCCAGCTGGTTCCCTTAAACAGGACCCACCATGCCAGGGAAAACGAGCTGGCATTCAGAGCCACCAGCCACTTGGCTTTTTAATTTTAATGGGCTCCACCAAATGTTCCAGGCCAAAGGGCCCCGAGAAACCAGAACAGACGGGCTCCCAACCCCCGGTCTGCAGCCCACCCTGGCTCTCTCCTGGGCTGTGGCCATCCTCGCTGCTGGGACCGTAGGGCCTGTGTTTGGGGCTGTAGGAGCCGAGGGGGTGAGTGGCCACTTGCCTTCCCTGTGTTCATGCCTGTCTGGCACCCGCCCATTATCCATGCCCAGAAAGGAGCCCGGGCCTTCTCCCAGCTATGCCGGTCCCCAGCCCCTTTCCTGGGCATGCGCCTGTTGGCCATGCTCTCAGAAACGTGTGTGTGTGTGTGTGTGTGTGTGTGTGTGTCTTACCCGGTCTGTGTTGGGGAGACTCCGGTTGGCTTTGGGGAAGGGGAGGCTGGAAGGGACCTGGGCCCCTGGCATGGCTCTCTCTCCTTTCCTCCTCTCCACCCTGGGCTCCCATGTGGGGTGCGGGAGACAGGCTGGGCCAGTCACTCTGGACTGTGCTATCCTAGCCCGGGAGGGGAAGGCTTGAGGGTAGGAGGCAAGTCTGAATGTTGCTACAACTGCGGCCCCTATTCCTCCTGCCCTGGGCCATACCCCAGCCCTGCCTGCCCGCAAGCTCCCTGCTGGCTTCTTGGAGGGCTCCTGCTCCCCACTCCTCTCACACTCTGCCTCGGTCCAAATGAATGTGAGCGCTTTGAACCCAGACCTTCTGATTTCTAATTTGGGGTGGGGAGTCCAAGAGCTCTGCCTTCCCCCTTCCACTCCTCGGGGCCCCAGCTGCAAGCTTGTCTTTCCAGGGGGGCTTTACTGTGCAAACAGCCAGTTTAAATGGCATGTCAGGCATTAAAGCACTCCTCATTGAGGTGTGAGCCAATTGGAAATTAAATAGCACAGTGGTTAAGAACACAGCTTTGGAATTAGCAGTCCTCAGGTTCAATCCTAGCTTCACCTGCCTCCTAATAGCTGTCTGTCCTTGGACAAAATTATTTAACCTCTCTGAACCTGAACCTGTCTGAACTTCTCTGAATCTGTAAGGAGGGGTAACACCCTATCTAAAAGCCTTGAAGTGGGGCCCTAGCTGGTTTTGTTCAGTGGATAGAGCATCAGCCCCTGGACTGAAGGGTCCCAAGTTCAATTCAGATCAAGGGCACATCCCTCAGTTGCAGTTCGAATCTCCAGCCCTAGTCAGGGCCCATGCAGGAGGCAACCAGTTGGTGTGTCTCTCCGCATTGATTTTTCTCTCTCTCACTTTCTCCTCTTCCTCCTCTTCCTCCTCCTCCTCCTCCCCCTCCTCCTCCTCCTTCCTTCCACTCTCTCTAAAATATCAATGAGAAAATATCCTCAGATGAGGATTAAGAACGACAACAAATAAAAAAAATAAAAGCCTTGTGGTGGGGTTTAGTTGAGGTATTTCATGTGAGGTGAGTGGCCGGGCAGCTCCCCATACCCTCCACACTTTCCCTCTCTGCATCTGTAGGAACATGTTCCCTGGTATTTGGGGGTGGGGGTGGGGGGGAGGGCACCATTTGAGTCACAGAATTGAAAGTCACTGGCTGCTGGGAGCTGGGAGGACTGGGCTTGATGAGGTCCATCTCAGGCAGGGGCAGCCCTGAAGCAGGGCATCAGGGCCCAATGTATGTGGCAGCTCCCAGGCTGCTCCGCCGCCCACCAAAATGTGTCCAAGCTGCCGTGCCTCCCAGCATCCCAGCATCCCTTGAACAAGCAGAGGACAAGGATTGGACTCTGAGCACCAGCTTGAGGCTTCCAAGGGAGGCCAGGCACCCAGGAGCCCAGGCTGGGTTTTTGCCTGGCAGCCCTCTGGCTCTGTGGGGCCTTGGGCTAGCCAACGGCTGGCTGGCTGGCACTTGCTGTCTTCCTGGGTCCCTGGACCGTCTCTGCCGTGCCCTGCTTTGACTGCTGCAGGCACCCAGCAGCCCTGGAGGCCTCCCAAGGCTAAGCACCTTCCCCAACAATGCAGGGAGTTGGAGCCAGGGCCAGGGCTGCGGGTGCAGGTGGTCTGCTGAGCCAATAGGTGTGCCAGACCAGAGCAGGCAGCCCTCGGACTCCTCCCTGGGCCCTGCCTCAGGCCAGGAATAACGCACAGGGCAGGGCTGGCTCTGGCCTCCGTTGGGGAGCAGGGCCCTCTGCACACCTGTCTCCTGGCCGCATGCATCTTGCTTTCTCTCTCTCCATGCCTGTGCCTATGCTGTTTTCCCCACCCAAAGGCCCTGTTCCTCTGCCTGGACTACCTTCCCTCCTTCCCTCCTCTTCCCGTGGCTGATCTCTCCACCCACTCATCTCTTTATTGGTTCCTGGGTTTAATCCTCAGTCACTGTGGACTATGTGCCATCCACCGCCTTAAGTGCTGGTCATACGAAGATGAAAAAGACACGGTGCCTCCCTCCCAGCCTGGCGGGGACATCACACCCGTGAGCGGCATTCTGAGTGCCGGGAAGGAGGGACTCCTGATGTGCAGGGCAGGGACTTCCTGCCAGGGAGAGGCGACCTCGTTCTTATGGAGCTTCGTTTATTGAGGCCTCTTACGCGAAACACTTATGTACATTCTCCTAACAGCCCTGGGATGCTGTAGATGTTGTCCCTTTTTACAGACAAGGAAACTGAGGCAAGGCTTAAGAGACTTTATGACTAAGGGTTTAAAGCTCATTTACTCCCACTGTAGTAAGTGACACTGGAGGTGGAGATCAGAGGTGGGCCGTAAAAGAGCAGGTGTGGACTGAGTAGAGGAAGGAAGGCATCCCTGGCATAGGGACCAGCATGGGCAAAGGCCCTGAGGCCAGGAGTCTCATGCAGCATCTGATAAGCAGTAACCTGCACTCACAGAAGAGAACATGGGTGGCTGGGAGAGTGGGGAGTTGAGGTCATGGAGGCCAAGACTGCTGCATGGAGATGGTACCTTCTTGCACAGATCATGGGGAGGAGTGGGTGGTGGTGAATGTGATTGGATCTGTGTTCTAGAAAGACAAAGGGCAGCATGGGGATGAACTGGAGTGGGGAGAGCCCAAGGCGAAGGCCAGAGGTCTCTGGTGTCCTGGGCCGGGTGAGGGGAGCTGGGGTGTGAGTGAAGACAAGCAGGGAGCCCAGGATGTCCACTGAAACCCCTTCTGCACCCCTGCCCTGCCCTGGGCTGCTCTGCTTGGCTCTGCAGGCACCTGTGGGCAGGTGCATGGATCTCACTCTCCTGAGGCCTCATGGTCTGGCCAGGCCCGTGCCTGGGCTCACAGCGGAGCCTCAGAAATGTGGTGCTTAGAGACTGGGTCCTACACGACATTTATTTGCAACAGAAACCACCCCACCTTCACTTTTCCCCTCCTCAGAGAGGCCGTGTGTGTGCGTGTGTGCGTGTGTGAATGTGTGTGCGCGCGTGCGCATAGCTGATGCTTTACCTCTCTCCTTCCCGAGGAGCTGGTTACCTGGGATGACAGGGCAGAGATGCTTTAAACAGCCGCACTGCAGCTCTGCAATTGAGGGTCTGGGGGACAGCGGCAGGGGAAGATGGCGCCCCTCGCTCTCCCCCCGCCTGCCCCCGTCCTCCCACAGGCGGCTGTAGCACCGTGCACTTTCTCTGTTTTCTCTTTCCAAGGTGGGCCTTAATGTCTTGGTTCAGAAAGCCAACAAGTTCACCCCGGCCACCCGCCTTCTCGTGCAGAGATTTGTGCCCTTCCCCGCCGTAGGTAAGACCTGCACAGTGCTGAGCATCTGCATGTGTGTGCGTGTGCGTGGGTGTGTGCGTGCACACATACGTGTGCATGGGCATGTGGGGCTCTCGGGGCTCTCGGGAGCGGGTCAGCAGCTCTACACTCTCCTGACATGGGGTGGGGGGTGTTTCTTCGCAGGGACAACTGGAACAGAACATATGTAGGTAGAGAAAAAGTGACAGGGGCCAGGCTGACTAGCCCTGTGTCCAAAATTCTACACAGGGATTCTTAACCTGGGACCCCAGGCTCCCGAAGGGTCAGAAGATAGAAGGCAGTGGATCCCATGAACTTGGTGGGGGAAGAATTTATACTAACCTCTAGCTGAAATGTAATGTTTCCTTCCATTATGAATGTAGGCAGCAAACCACAGTAAAAAGCAGGTTGGGTGACTGTCACCAATAGAAATCACAGATGTTCCCACGTCTCATCACAGTTACAGAGATCTTAAAATATTGCTCAGAATTAACACCAACAGATCCACTGGTCGATCTTGTTTTTAATCATTAGTTAAAAAGCAGATCTATTACTGTATTACAATTTTTAAAGTATTTTGATAACATTTCGATATGATTCCTTTGTGGTCCTATGTATTTTGTTTTATGCAGTTAGACACATTGTTTGGAGAGAGGTGCATGGGCCTTACCAGATTGTCCCAGGTTCCTGACACAAAGCTCCCGCTAGTCTCGTGTTCCTGGGGTACTGTGGGCCCGTTAGGTTTCGGAGCCCCCAGGTACCTTCAGGTAATTGTGGGTGCGTGCGTGCGTGCGTGTGTGTGTGTGTGTGTGTGTGTGTGTAGAGGGGATCTCGCCTGCCTGCAGCCGAGTCCTTGCTGGTCTTGGCGTCTCTGAGCTCACAACAGATGCCCAGGCCTGGACCCGGAATCCCTCAAAGCCCAGCCTGGCTCTTGAGAAGCCCATGCCTTTTTTGGGAAGAGGACACCACAGTGGGAAGATTTTTAAAAATTAAAAAGAAATAAACAACATCGAAAGAAACCTGGGGCAGTCCGTGACTAGTAATCAAAAGAGGAGAATAAGCCAGTGTTTGAACCACGACACTGAGTTCCAGAGGACAGAGATGGGGCCAGCCCACGGCGCGGGGTCCTGTGCTGTCCTTGGTGCCAAGGCTCCGTCTGAAGAGCTGGGAGTCAGACCCAAGTTCATGGTCCAGACCCTGCTCTCCTCCTCCAGAGCTCAATTTCCCCATCTGTACAATGGGCACCAGTACTTACCTTTCTACAGGCCAGAGCTGTGGGAGGGTCAAATGAGACCACAGACCAGACTCCCCTCCTAGGAGAGTGCTTGGAACCACCTGAAAAGCTCCCGGGAGATCATTCCTGGGCAGCCCCACCTCCTCGATGGCCCAGAGGCTAATGAACTCCCAGGACCAACCTGCTCGATGAGCCTCGGCCAACCCAGATAATTGCTATAGCAACTCCACACTTTTAATGAACCCTCAGCTATTCCTAGTGCGGGCCATTAATGGAATAACTCTTTAGATCTGACTTTGTTAAGGGGCCTAATTGAGTGAATACGGCTGCTGTTCTTTGGGTCCTTGCCCTCCTGGGCTGGAGGGTTAGGTGCAGCCCGAGAAGGTGGCAGCTCTCAGCCGCACTGGACTGGATCTGGGACTCGGCTGAGATGTAATCTGTCCTTGAGCCAAGCTCCAGACAAGGACTCCGCCCGGGGCCCATTCCAGCCCTGCTCTACTGGCCATCTTGCTGTGTGACCTTGCGGTGGTCTTCACCTCTGTGAGGCTCCTGAAAGCAGGAGGAGGGTTGACCCTTTCTGTCGTCTCCACCTGAGACTCTCTGTCTCTATTTGGGCTCCAGTTTGATTACTTTCCTGCCTTCTTGTTGGGGAGGAGCCTACAGCCCCTCGCACACGTGCAGCCACCCGTGAGGGGCCTCGCGTTCCTGTGTATCCCTGGCCAGTTGCACAGGTTTGCACTCTGTGTGGTTTGCAGCCCTGAGAGTCCTAGGTTGCCAGGATCCGGAGAGAAGCAGGCCCTTCCTGGCCCCTTCCTCAGGCCCAATGCCCAAGTCCTGGCTGTGGACCTGCCTGTCTTCCACCGCCTGCCCAGTCTCTTCTCCCCCACATTCAAGCTTCCAGCTCTCTGGCCCCCAATGCCCATCCCAGGCTCAACTGCAAATGGGCACTAGCTGACTCCCTGGTCATTGCTGACACAGTGGTAGTGGGCATGCCTCTCACTCTCCAGGGGCTCAAAATTCCCTTGGTCCTCAGGCCACCATCTAGTCCGTGCATGTGGCCTCCCTCCACCTTATCCCCAGGACAGAGCATCTCTAAGCTTTCCACGGCACGCTAGTCCCACCAGCTGTTCACCCCTGCTTTCCATGGCAGGCTGGGCCAGACTGGGACAGGCCACAGCTAAGACCACTGAGAAGATGGCTCAGGACTTTCTTTACCTTGTAGAGCAGTGGTTCTCAACCTTCTGGCCCTTTAAATACAGTTCCTCATGTTGTGACTCAACCATAAAATTATTTTCGTTGCTACTTCATAACTGTAATGTTGCTACTGTTATGAATCGTAATGTAAATTATCTGATATGCAGGATGGTCTTAGGCGACCCCTGTGAAAGGGTCGTTCGACCACCAAAGGGGTCGCGACCCACAGGTTGAGAACCGCTGTTGTAGAGGGTTCTTTGCCCCTTTGGAGGCCTGGCCAGGTGGGGAGACAGGACTCACAGAGCAGTGAGTGCACAGGGGAAGTGACGGATTGAGCTCTGGTTGCTGGGATGTGTGTGTAGGAGGCTGGAACAAAAGGGGGTCTTCAGGGTGAGGGGGGTCCTGAAGGGGCTTCGGTGCACTGTGCTCAGAGGCCACCCCCCTACTCTGTCCCTCCTGGGCAGGCTGGAAACTCAGGCTCTGGGGAACCAGGAGACTCCCGGGGGTCAGTTGCTCCTTCCCACCACTCTGTCCAGCTCCTCCCTGGGCTCCTGCCCCTGGCTGAGGTCTGGGAAGCAGGAGGACAGCTCTCTGCACTGAGACCCATGAGCTGCCCAGGAGAGAGGCCTGAGACCCCTGGCCCAGGACACCTGGCTCACGCCTGACTCTGCCACTCCTACCCGTCTCTGGCCTCGGACCAGGTCCTATTTCAGCCCCTTTCTGCTGGGACTGCAGGCCTCCCCTGGGTTTGTAAAGCCCAGTATTCCTGGGGCTCCACAGCTCTCCCCATTTCCCCCAGCCGGCCTCTGTTCCCCTCAACTCTCCTCATTCTCTCTCTGGGAGGACCCTCGGACAGAGGGAGCCATCCCATTTTACAGAAGAAGGGTTTTTACAGACTCACTAAGGGTTATCCTGACCTGGCCACAGCCCAGACTGCTCCAGCCACTCAAATAACCTTCACTGCAGTAGCTGAGAGACCGAGGGGCGGAGTCCAGAGGCCGGCTGTTCCGTGTCCCACCAGGAGCACCTCCAGTTTTGCCCCTGGTTTTTCAGCCGGGGTTGCGTGTGTGCGTGTGCACGTGTGTGTGTGTGTGTGTGTGTGTGTGTGTGTGTGTGTGTGGAGTACGTGGGGAGCCACAAGGACACTCCCTGCAGCCTCTCCCCCGAGAGGGTTTCAGAGCTGTGCTGGGCCCTGGTCTAGAACAGCAATCATGTGGGAAATCTCGTTTCTATTTATACATGGACATGTTAGGAAAGACGGTGCGTGCTGGCATCGGAATCGATTGGGGACTGGTAATTAATTTGTTTAGACCTTAATTAATTCTCCAGTTCTTTCTTATTTGTGGACTGTCACGCTTAATTGTGTTCAGGAGCTCGAGCTTGGAGCAGGCCCTCCATTAATTGACGTGAGGTGGAAGTTAATGGTTTGGGGAGCTGGGCAAACAGTGTAATTAAAGGTCAATTGAGGAGGCATCGGAAAAATACAAACCTCCAGGTCCAGCCACCAGGCTCCAGGCGCAGTCCATTCCCGCAGAGGCAGGCCCCATAGCAGCCTTCACGGGGGGCCTTGGGTGGGGGCTGGGAGCAGTGGCCAGCAAGAGGAGGTCCAGCCGGTGCCATGGCGAGAGGAGTAGATGCACCTTGTCAGGGATGGGCGGGGCAGGGGCTTTAGCCAGGAGCTGAAGGTGGAGACCCCAGGGTCACCTGGCAAGCATGGCCGTGTGCTCAGGCTCTTGTATATATGTGTGTAGGGGGCAGGGCAGGGAGCTCTGAAGGTCACCCCAGATTGCTTGGTTGAATCCATGCCGAGCAGGGGACCAGCAGGGCCCGGTGCTCATAAAGACCCCCATGTGGGCTCTGAGCTCGCCATGGGGAAGCCTAAGCCCTAGCACCCGCCCGCCGACTTCCTGCAGAGGGAGTAACCTTCCCGCATGGACCAGAAATGCCAGCCTCGGCATCTCTTTGCCAGGAAGTGACTTTTCCCTGTGCTGTCTACGGCTCTCCGCAGTGGCTGCACCAGTCTGCATTCCCACCAGCAGTGCATGCGGGTGCCCTTTTCTCCTCATCCCCACCAGCACTTGTTGTTTGTTGATTTGTTGATGATAGCCATTCTGACCGGTGTGAGGTGATACTTCATTATGCTTTGAATTTGCATTTCTCTGATGATTATCAATGACATTGGGCATCTGTACAGAGGAATGTATTACTTTACAAAGGCCGAGTCCTGGGTGAAGCATCCAGGGCCCTTCCTTCCACTTCTCTGCCAGTGGCTTCACCTGCAGGGTAGCTCCCTGAAGATGGCACCAGCAATTCCAAAGGTCACATCCAGACCCACCAGTGCCCAGAGGACAGGAGGCACTGCCTGCTACCTCTTCTTAAATAAAAGGAGTCTTTTCCTAGAAGCCCCCTGCCGCCATCCCTCATTGGCTAGGACTGATCACATGTTCTTTCCTAACCAATTACTGTCAAGAAAGGGATTATTACAATTAGTTTAGACTAATCGTTTGGGGGTAGAATAGCGGTTGAGTCAGTCACCATAACCCTCCATAGAGTAATATTAGTAGCTCTTTGTCAC